GCGAGTTTCATAAACAAGAGATTCATCAAGCCATTCGTTAAATATGAGAGAGAGAGAGAGAAAGGTCGATCGAATCCTCCCCAAAAGAAAAATATGAAACTTTCTTTGTTGTTTAAAAAAAGTGGAGCTAGTGTTTTCGAATTTCGCCTATCTCATGTTAGTGTCCAAAGTTACATGGATTATCACTAGAGATCGAACACTCGGACTAGTTCAATCTATAATCTCATGATCGCACTTCAAGAGGTAATGATCTAAACAACTTCTTATTATAATTATTTGATTCAACGAGTGATCTTGGATTTTAGATTGGAGGAAAACAAATTTTTTTTATTTATTCTGCTCCTCCATAAGATGTTTTTCCTTCAAGACGTTGGCCAAGTGTTGGCCTATTATGAGAAATGAAAGAAAAACTAACATTGGAAACTAGCCAAGTGTTGTTTAACGAGTAATACATATAAAAATAAAAAATAAAAAAAATTGAAAAGTGCTCCTCATTGCTCAATTAATCTACCTTAAAAATCCATTTTTTAGGGTTTTTTTTTTCATTTAGACTTCGGGACTTTTAGCAAGCCCGAAAACTTTTACTTTTTTTTTTTTTTTTTTTGTGCATAGAAAGGCTACGACTATTGTACCCTTCACTATTTATTGCTATATGATAAGAGACTCATAACAAATTTATTGTAGTCATTGTCGGATTATTTTTTTTAACTTTATTTTTTTCATCTCATCATATATGATTGTATGAACACATTTACTACCAAGAATGTCCGTGCGTAAGCCAAATATATATATATATATATGCTCAATTTATCCATAAAATTTAATTAAGTATTTAGCTAATTTATTATGTACGAATTCATGTTATTTTTCTTGGCTTCGGTATAAGTCCATAATACACAAAAAATGGATTGGATTGAGATTGAATTTCATCTAGCATGATACTTTGGACCTTATAAGAATGGATAAGGGTATCTAAGCAAGGCTAATGTTTATGCCTTCTCTTTGGGATGCATTAGTAAAAATGATGCGAGTACGATCCTAGTGGTCAATGGTTATGTTTTTTCACTATAAATACTAATCTCACATCACCGTGAAAAGGATTTCTAAATTTTAGATCCTTAGGAAAAAAAAATCTAAAAACTCCCCTTTAAAAACTCTTATACTCTCACATGAAAAAATATATAAAGTTCTATCTATTTGAATTTTGACCGTCCACTTGTCCGCCACTTAACTTGAGGCTTGTTAACACTATTTGCTCTTCTTTCTATGCATCTCATTACTTGTATCAATTTTACTTAGTTGATTATTGATTCAACAAATCATAATATTAGCTCTCTATATTCTGATCAGTATATCAACTAGTCGTTTGATTGGTTCTCAAAAGCCTTTTACATAGTAAAATTTCAATAAGCGATCAAAAATCAAATTTCATTTTTATCCAAAATAATAGTAAAACTAATTGTCCGAATTATTAAATAAAAAATAAATAATCTTTTTGTCATACCATCCAAAAAAAGAAAAAAAGTGAAAATTTTGATTTATTATCTCAAGCCACGTCTACTGCCAATATTTTTTTTTCCTCGTTTTCTATTTGTTCCCGTGGATAAATGGTAGCTGACAGTAACGGGTTGTCACTTAATATATGGGGAAAACGGCAAAGGCCATCAATTTTGCATTTGAAGTTTGGTTTGGCAGGGTTATTACTACCAGCAGGAGAACATTAATTGCCAGAGGATATTGGTCGGCATTTAAGCCTTTGCAGGTAAAGTCTAACTGCTTCTAAAATCTCCAATCAATGTTGTTCCTCGCACAAGTGGAACCAACCACTAGGAAAACAGGATAGTGCGTTCTGAAGAGGATGCCAGCATCTCTATCAACGACTCATTGTCGAACAAAATCATGGCCACTTTTAATTGTTGTCAACATACATTCTTTTATGGTGATTTTGTCCATGATATTACGTTATTTTACGTCAATATAATTACAAGATTATAAATACAATTGGTGAGAAATAGAGTAACAAAGTTGATCGTAACTGAATTTATTAGCAAATAATGAAAATCTTCATGTACGGAATACTTATTTTTCAATAAATAACTATATAAATATGTTTCGTAATTATAAGTAACGTAATGTTATTCAAGGATGTCCTTTGGTTTGAATTATAATAGAGTAATAATACTACATATATCAAAACAATTTTTCCAAAATTACTTATTCCATATTTTCAATAATTGGATTTATAGAATTTATTACTGGGATTCTCTCTAGTTGAGATAAGTGATTTTGACAAAAACTTTCCTAATAATAGAATTCACCAGTGAAGTTCTTTTTTTTTTTTTTTAATAATTTATGCTAATATTAATTTCAAGGACCCTTTGTTCATTAATATTGGTGCCAAACTTGAAAAAAAAAAATCTCATTTTGAACAATGCTCATTAAAAAGTTTTACTTCCTGAAATATCTCGTCACCATTTGTTTTTAAAAATTATGTCTAATTTGTTAATTGTAACAAGTTGCAATTTCTTCTTTAGTTTTTTTTTTTTTTAAAAAAAAGTACTGCATTTGTTTAATTTATATCATCAATAATCCATCTTTCAGATGGATTATCACTGTAAGTGGGGCCGTAAGGCAAATATTGCTTAGCTTGTAACAAAATTTGGATTGCAAATATGGCCGTCAGGAAGCTGCGTTCAAATTTAGCAGTCGATTGGACATGGAAAGTGGAAGAATAGAAGCGGAGTTTCTCTTGCCTTGTATAGTGCAAATTCATTGCATGAGACAATCATTACGGATATATTCGAATATTTCAAAACACAATTGCAACTAATCGAATTATCTTTGAAGAAATTGGATCCACGTTGGAAGAAAAGGACCCATTAGGATTTTTTATCTTACAGAAAATGGAAGAAAAATCCCGAGAGAATCAACACCACTAGATAACATTGATGTTACCATGCACCACCTCGACAATAATCCAATTGGAACGACCTAATGTGGCAAGATTTTCAATGCCCATTTGATGTGGGAGAAATTCCCAAAAGTCAAAATCGTGTTAAGTGACAATATCACCACCTGTCATCCGTTCGTTAGCTGATCACAACGAAAGTTGATATCCTAATCATAGATCATTAATTTAGATTAAAAAAATAAAAAGTAGATCGCAATATAGAGTCTTTGTTATGTAAAGATTATGACCATTGAAGACCTAAAACTCTCTCATGACTCTATTAATAAACTATTTAATTATATGTTTTGTATTAAGGAGTTGTTGTTTAATTCCCTCCTTTCAAGAGAATTCAATTTGTAGTAAAAAAAAAACCCTATATTTTTTGCACTTACCATGCCTCAATTAACCAGCTATACATTTTCTTTTTTAACAACCGAGGAACCAATTCGGACCTCAATGCCGTTAATCCTAGTATTTTTTTTTCAAAAGAATTTTATTTTTCTTATTACTGCACCTTAATTTTTCCAACAAAAACAATACAAATAATAAAAGAAAATATAATTTAAGTCGGCTGATAAAATGCATGTGATCACATTCAATATTAGAAGTAGCTCTTGTTTGTAGTTCACATGAACACGTAAATAGCTTCCATAATGGAGGATGACATGCAGCATACATACAGTCTCTGTAGCAAGGTAAAATTGAAACTTTTTTAAACTATAAAGATAGAAGTGAGAATTTTAAACCACGGAGATGGAAATGTATTGTTTATAAATCTATAAGAATAAAAATATAATTTATTATGACAATTATGGTTTTATTTATTGTGTGGTTTAGAAATTCGATTTGTAATATAGTAAGAGAATTTTTAATTGCAAATTGAATAATGATTAAAAAGTGCCCTAAATCTAGTTATCATTACAAATGTTGGTAGATTTTAAAAAATTATTTTATTTTTTAATTGATAATAAACGTTTTCAATAGCAAGAAAAGGGAAAATATCCATTATATTGATTGGAATGACAAAATTACTCGCTCCAATAGATACCGATAAAACCCAACTTGATGAGAATAGGTACGTATGGCTAGCTATGCATGGGTCAAAGGAATGATGGGTCATTATGCATTTCCTCCCATCAAGTAACTTTGCTCCAATATAAAAATAGCTCTGAGGGCATTTTTATCGAATTGGAAATGGTTTGGTCGACTTAGTTACAGACGAATACTATTTGAAATTAATTTTAAATTGGCTATTCAGTTATTGTTTTTTTAAAGTGTTCGTCAAAAAATTTATAGTCAATTAATTTACACAATTTATAATCTTTTTAAGTAACTATAATAGATTCAATTTTTTCATACTTATAGAGAGACAAATCGTAGTGCGAAGTGATTTGCTTCTCAAATCGAATTGGAAATGGTTTGGTCTGACTTAATTTTTTTATTGCTTCTCAAACTTAGGTATAAATATTTTGTAGAAATTATTTAGAATTGTTATAGAAATCACTTTTTTATTTTTTATTTTTAATTCTATTATTGATATTATTTTTTTCAATAATACGACCCAATTTTTCTTTTGGTCAATCAGAGAACCAGGTCGCGGAAGTCTCTAATTTTACACAGGCACTAAAACGTTGTGTTAGTGCTCACTGTAGGGTAGGTCTGAGGCAGCCAGACAGGAAAGAGAGAGGTGATATTTTAGCTTGAGTGTAGCGGGCTCTGTCTCTCTCCCGTAGGTTTACAACACCTGTCAAGACTTCCTCTCTCCCAAATCGGTAGGCAACGCAACCCGTAAGTCTCTCTCTGTCAATTTTACGCTCTGTTTGGTTACCGAGAAAAGCAAAGAAAATAAAAAGATCCAGTTCTCTTTCTTCTTCCTTTTCTGAGCAACCAAACAGTTTCGTAAAGGGATTACGCACAATTATCTCAATTAATAATCACTCTAATTTTGAATTATGTTTTATTTATTTCTATTTTCAAAATTTTCTAATCGCTATCTTATTGGGTTTGCACAGATTCGAAGGAAATTGGTGTTTTTGTGGCCTGACTGACGATGGAGGCTATGGCTACATCAAATACACAATCTACACCTCGATGGAAACAAATGGGCGAGGAAGAGAAGAAAGCAGCAGTTCATGACGAAATGAAGAGAATTAATCAACTCCCTGCAACCAGTACTTATGCCACTCATCGCTTGCGTGTTCTCAATAAAATCCTCCAACTCATGTCTCTTCAGGTATCCAAATTACTCACCAGAAAGTTTTTTGTGTTACTTTCGTTAAAAGAGATACTAATTTGAGAGCAAAAATTGAAACTTTTTTTGGTTTTTCTATTTTGTTAGAGGACTGTGTCACAGGATGAGGAATTGGAGTTGCTTTTTGATGGGTTGCATCTGTGATTTGGTAAGCTGCAAAGTTGTTTCTTTGAATTTGGTTTTGTTTGTAATTGTTTTATGTTTTGAGTTGATGATCTGGGTAGGATGGACGGACTGATGGTTTAATTTTGTTGAAGATCTGACATGGTTTTTGTTCTTTCAGTTTTGCATATTGGTTTGATAGTTTTAGATCGTTGAACTCAACCAACTCCTTTGTGTCTATGTTTTGGAGTGAGCCAAAAAAATTGCTTTCTTTCTCTTTAAGCTCTGATTTTATTTCATTTTTCATCTTCTATCATCTCAAGATTGTTCTGCATAACTATCTTCATCGCTGTAGAGGTTGCCATTAGCTCTCGTGGTCCTCACTACAAGTGATTGACGTTTTTCTAGCTCTATTTTCATTCCGGATATTGGTTGTGTCGTATAAGTATCATCTCTGCTTATCATATTTTCAATATATAAAAATTGTTTATAGCATGGAAACGTTATCTTAGTTATTTCATAACCCAAGTCGTAAGACATGAAGATATTTCTCTTTCTGCGTTTCAACTTTGAAGGTTACATTACCATATCACATGTTAGGAGAGTCTCTAAACATCATCAGGCCTCTTAAATTTCCCTTTCCTTTTGCACGTCAAAGATGTTTAGGATGTGAAGGTTTCTAATTACCAATGGCTCCTTTGCTTGTTCATTCATGCGCATTTCATGAATAATTCATTTGTGTACCTCCTCAATCCTCATTGCTGGTAAATTTGATGTTGCAGGCTGGCAAACATCATCACAGAATGTTAATCCTCAGATTGCATCTCCAAGGTGTGACATGAAGGCCTCTCTGGTAGGCTGAAATCTAAATCTTGTGAATATCTTCTGAAGCTGTTTTCGTCAAATTAGTTCTCTGTATCTTTTGTTGGGTAGGGAGTTAAGTTTCATTTATGTTTACACTGGTTAAGTGAGATAACTGATTTTTTTTTTCTTTTAATAAAGCATAAAACACCTTCCTCAGGTGTGGTTAATTCTCGCTGTTTTACAAGCCAGTCTAAATGGAACCAAGTTCCATTCTTCTAAATGAACTAGGCCCATAAACGTATTAGTCTTAGCCTGGAAATGGCTCATAAGAGGCATGGCCAAAAACAAAAAAAGTAGTAGTGATTGAGACTTAGAGTAAATTATAAATTAGCCCCTCTTGTTTTGAAAAATGAATTAATTAGTCATTCTGGTTTCAAAAATTAATAATTTACTTCTGAAATAATTAGTTTTTGAAACCAAAAAGATTAATTAATTTGTTTCTCAAACTAGAGGGACTAATTTATAATTCACTCGTGAAACTTAAAACATTCTTCTTTCGTTTTTTTTTTTTTTTAAAGGAGAATCCATTGATTTGCGAAATGTCTTTTGCTTTTGTTTGAGCCTTCGTCGGTGATCCTCTTAAAGGAAAAAAGTTAATAAACCTGGCGTTGTGTGAAAACGGGTTGCTGCGATATGAAGCAATCAACATTGTCAAAGAACAGGATAATTTTAAAGCAAGGACTGAGGATAAACCTTTCGTACTTTTTTTTGAAAGAGGCTTGCCCCGTAGTATTTAAGGCAGAAAGAAAGACCCATTTTACTTGCCCCGTGCTTCACGTATCATTTATTTACCCTTTTTAGGTCCTTTTTTAATCCTGAATTTGTTTTTTTTTCGGGTTCTATTCGAATTCGAGAGGATAGCGTGGAGGGATTTAGTTTCCCTCTTTTCTTACAACCTTCAAAATCATCCTAAAAAGGGAAATTCTATTTGGATGATTTGTGAATTGGGGCCAAATTATCGTAACAGAAAAACATTGAGGACACAAATTGCAATAATTATTTTTTTAATAAAAAATTAATACGTAGCTGGTGTAAATTACTAGCGAAACTTGCCTCTTTACACACTGAAGATGATAACTCCAAAAGGAGGTCTGTCGACATGAAATCCCAATTTCTTATCAGCAACTTCACTGCAGCTGCAAGCAGCTTCCCAAGACAAAACTTGCTTTTACTGGATTAAGGTTAAGAATCTTGCTATTGGCTTTGCTTTTCTGGTCTTTCAGTCGCTCTAAACTAAACTGATCAACATCTTTTCAGACCACAACCACATCAACCCAGCCGTCCGGATAGGTATGCTGTCTTCGTTTCATTTAGTTCTCCTATTTATTTGTTTTATTTTTAACTGTCTGTAGAAGTTACTGTAAATTACAAATGTTTTTGTTTTTCTTTCTTTCGTTTGTATGTTTATTTCTAGAGTTTCTATTTGGTCCACTGCCTCTCGCGTACCATATACTTTATAAATTAGTTGTTCAAATTTTTTTTTCTTTCTAATTTGTTCCAAATTCTTATTTGAATAAATTAATTATGTTTAACTTCCATTTTTCTCAAATGAGTTTTATTTGTATATTTAGGGTGCACAATGGTTAGACCGAATGATCCCTTTTGGGGTTATGTGGAGAAGATGACTGGTGGACTTTTTAAGTGCATGTTTTGTGAGTATATATTTGCTGTTGCTACTTCAATTTCGAGGTTCAAATCGCATTTAGCAGGAGTCAAAGGGCGCGGTATTAATGTTTGTGCAAAAGTGCCAAAAGAGATTCAAGAAGAAGCCTATCTAGCTATTAATGGCTCAAAAAAGATACGCAAAACCATGCCAAGTTCGAGCAATAATGGGGTGGCTAATATGATTTCAACTTCTTTACGAGAAGACAAGAATGAATTTGAAACTCTCGCAAGAGATGTAGAAGAGATGCTAATGGAAGTTGAAAGCAATGATCAAATAGAGATCAAGAGTGGTGAAGAAGTGGTCCAGCTTGTTGAAACGGGTAGCTCTCTTGAAGGGAGTATTGTTGTTGCACAATCGACCGGGGGGAATGTATTGCCAAGAATGGATCTAGTTGGTCAATCGATTGAAAAGGATTGGCATGAGATATATGATTTGTCAATAGAGAAGGATGATTTGAATAGTGGCACAGAGAACACGGCTGGAGATTCATTGCCGACAACGGAGCTACTGGGTCAGCGTTTAAAAGAAATACAGCTGAGATTTGGTCTTTGTTAAACAAGGACCAGGTTTTAACTATTGGTGTTTGTGGAATTAGGGGGATGGGCAAAACGACACTGGTGACGCATATCCATAATCTGCTTCTAAAAACACCGAACTCTTTTCATCATATTTATTGGATTACTGTAACACAAGATTTTAGTATTTATAAGTTGCAGAATCTGATTGCCAAATGTATTGATTTAGATCTTTCAAATGAAAAAGACGAGAATGGAAGGGCTGCAAAACTTTCAAAAGCATTTTTTACAAAACAGAAATCTTTACTGATTTTACATAACTTATGGAAGCATTTTGATGTAAGGAAGGTGGGAATTCCCATCGAAGGGAACAAATGCAAGTTGCTTTTTACAACTCGATCATTAGATGTTTGTAAACGGATGGGCTGCCTAGAGAGCATGGTCAAGGTGGATTGTCTTTCTGATGAAGAGGCTTGGAGCTTGTTCACTAAGGAACTAGGGAATCATGACATCAAAATGGAACACTCAGCAAAACTTCTTGCAAGGGAATGTGCTGGTTTGCCACTTGGGATTAAAACAATGGCAAGAAGCATGAGGGGAGTGAAAGATGTTTATGTGTGGAGGGATGCACTAAAGGAATTGGAAGAATCAAAACATGGACAAAGTAGCACGGGACTTGATTGGTTCTGGGTATTGAAATTTAGTTTTATGCACTTGAATGATTTATCACTGCGACAATGTCTGTTATATTGTGCATTATTTCCAGAGGATTTCATGATCAACAGAAATGACTTGATAGAGTATTTGATTGTTGAGAGCCTAATAGAAGCTAAGTGGAGCGGGCAATCCCAATTTGATAAGGGCCACTCCATGCTTAATAAACTTGAAAATGCCTGCTTATTGGAGGGTTTTACAACTGAAGATTATAGATATGTAAAGATGCATCACTTGATCAGGGATATGGCCCTCCTAATTATGAATTCAAGCTCCATGGTTGAAGCTGGTGCTCAATTAAGAGAATTCCCGGATGAGGAGAAATGGACTGAGGACCTTACGAAAGTCTCATTAATGGAAAATGACCTCGTGGAAGTTCCGTCTAGCCTTTCACCAAGGTGTCCCAATCTTGCAACCTTGTTGTTATGTAGAAACTACAAACTGGAATTAATCACGGATTCTTTTCTCAAGCACTTGTGCGGGCTCAAGGTTCTTGACCTCTCTTGCACTGCTATTCAGGAATTGCCAGGTTCAATCTCTGGTCTTGTGTGTCTCACTGCATTATTGCTGAGGGGCTGTAACAAATTGAGACATGTTCCATCATTAGCAAAGCTCAAGACATTGCAGGTGTTGAATTTCAGCTATGCTACAATTGAAGAGGTGCCTCATGGGATAGAGTTGCTGTACAATCTGAGGTATCTTAATCTGGATGGAACTAGACTCAAGGAATTTCCTGCTGCTATGTTATATAATCTTTCCCATCTACAATTCCTCTGCCTGAACCAGCCATTAGGAGGTCTCACAACAGTTGAAGTAGAGGAAGTAGCAGGCTTGAGAAAGTTGGAATCTTTGAAATGCTGTTTCTATGATCTCGTTGATTTCAACCAGTATCTCAAATCTCAAGAGGAGAGGCAACCATTAAGTACTTATAAAATCATAATAGGACAACTAGGTGGCGATGTGTTCACAGATTTTATACTTTCTACAATTTCAAAGAAAGATACAAATAAAGAGGTTCGATTATATAACTGCAATATTGGCGAAAGAGGAGATTTTCTAGCACTTCCTGAAGGCACAGAAAAACTGGTGATTGCTAAATGCCACGATGCCAGAAGCTTATGCGATGCACAAGCAGCTGGATTGAAGTCTTTTGTAATTTGTGAGTGCGATGGTATAGACTGCTTGCTCTCATCGTCCAGATTTTCCACTGACATACTTGAAAGCCTTGAAACTCTTCATCTTTACTGGTTGAAGAACTTACTTGTCCTCTTTGGCAGAGGAGG